AAGATTTGTATATGTCTTACCAATAAATATTTTATATATAATATTTAATAATATTAATGATATAAAAATATTTAAGATATTTCTTAGCAAAAGATCTTAAATATTGTGTAAAAACAAGAGAGCTCGACTTGGATCCACACTCTTTTTTTCCAAAATAAACTTTCTTTAAAATAAAAAAAAACAAATTAACAAATGTTTTAAAAGTTTTAAAAACTATATTAAACTAAATCCATTCAAAACAATCTGTCCAGGTGGATATCCTCAGCAGTCTTTACCATTATGATAAATAGAGTTAAAATGACCTTTTTAAATAAAAGTTGAAAGTTTTATTGAGATGGATTGTTGGTGATTGTATGGGTTTTGACCAAATTGGGTAACAAAACATGAACACAGGAAAATGAAGACTTGTTTAAAAAAGATTTAAGACCTACAACACAATATTTCAGTAAATTTAAGACTTTTTAGGGGCAAATTTTAGATTTTGGAATTTAAAACATTTTAAGACTCCGCGGAAACTCTGTTTAAACACAATAGCCCTGATAATTAGTTATTATAATAAAGGTTTAATTCTAACTCTGATACTATCTTTGAGAACTAGTAACAACTACTAGAAACAAGTTTAAACTCATAAAGAAGTTGATGAAAAAAAGGGAATTGTGATCTACCCGACATATGCAAATGGAAAGTACCAAGCCAACACTATCACTGTAATAGCAGATATCTTTTATGAGAATACTGTAGGTCAAATATTGTCAGCTCGGGTGAACTTTTTTTAAATTGATTGTTATTATTTATATTATATAGCGCCAGTGCTCAAGGGTGCTTTACACACAGTAGGAGAACAAGAAAAGCAATAACCTTAAGAAGGTAGAGAAAATGGCAGACTAATAATACTTAAAATAATGACAAAAGACATGAGAACAAGTAATAAAAGAAACTCGTTCCTATCTTTCAATGAGTGCTTATGTGCATTTAGGAGAACTAAGCAGCACACTCAGGGCTGCAACATGGATTTAATTTAGTATTATTATTATTAAAATATATCTGAATGAAAACTAACTTGTTTGTTCCTGCGGATCTTCCTGTTTGACTGTGAATGTTTCTTCAATCTTCACTCTCCTCTTTAATAAACGCCATCTTTATAACAGTGTGGAGATCAGTCGCTTCACCAGGAGTTTTTCTCTGTGTCTGGACACTTTATCCTGTTTAAAATGAACAAAACAATGAACAGAAACAAAATAACTTCTCTTCAACACTTGCTTCAACAGTTTCTTTATATAAGAGTGATAAACAAAAATAAATCAGGTAAGTCTGAGCAAGAAACAATAGCCACAAACAAATGACCTAATAAAAACTAGTTCTCCATTTCTTATATATATATATATATATATATATATATATATATATATATATATATATATATATATATATATATAATGTATACTTATTTTGGAATGACATTATGCTAGTAAATAAATAAAACCTTCATTAAAACACTTAACGTTACACACATTTATGTTGTTCAAACAATTGCCCTCGATTTCTGTTATTAAAACAGTACTTCGTTGCATAAAGGATTAAAATAATAGTCAACCGCAGGTATATAATATCGAAAGAAAAACCTGAAACTTTAATCAATCGGTTTATATTTGTGTTAAGCTGTGAAACAAAGCTTCCTCCAGTTGAACTGCAGCGCGGAAGCGGCGCAACCTTATGACGTCACACAACACGCCAAAATAAAAGTCTTTTTTGTTCAGCTTTTTTGCCACTTACTGTTGCAGTCAGGACATCATAAATTTCACACTCCTTTTCACATCTCACACAACATATCTGCTCTCTCTCTCTCTCTCTCTCTCTCTCTCTCTCAAATACACAGACATTCAGTATTTGAAGTTGATCAAAACTTTTAATTAAAACATTTTTACACAATTTTGATTTGTTTAATCCACTAAGTCTAAGTTTTTTTTTTTCGTTTTTTTTTTTTTTTTGCAAAAAGTTTACATCACAAAACAGGGGACAATCAACATCGCAAGGCATATTTACCATTAAAATAAATTAAAATTGTTACAAAAGATCTACATCAAAGGACAAACAAAACATTATGAAAATAAATGTTTTAAAAATTAATTAAAGAGAGCTTCAGCTATTTTTTTCTTTGATTTCTGAAGTATTTGAAGCTTTGAAGCACTTTCTCTACCTCAGAAAGAAAACATCTAAAAGAGGGTCTGCACTTTTTCCACTCACAGCAATGAATATGACATTTACCCATTAGTAAAATAAAGTTCACAACATCAGAGAAAGAAAAATGTAAATCAGCTTTGTAAAATAAAATATCTTCTAGAACAATAGGGGGGACTTAAATCCTCTTAAATGAAAGCCAAGGATGGATGTCAAACCAGAATTAAAAAGTAAATTCACAAGAAAAAATAAGTGATCGAGTGTTTCTGGAGCAGATCTACACTTGTCAACATCAAAGTTAAATCTTTTTTGAATAAACTCGTTCACATGGTATATCCTGAATACAATTCTGTAATGAGTTTCCTTAACCTTTGGTGCTACAGGATATTTAAGATAAAAGGTAAAAGCTTTGTCCTCTACTAAGGGTTTAACAACTAGATGATGACACTTAAAATCACCAATGATAAGCGTTTAAATTGTTTGTAAATAAGCTTGATGTTACATTTACCATCGAAAATATCAACATTTCATATTTTTAAAAATGGAAGAAAAGTTACAAGTATACATGGGAGATTAAAACAATTACTTTGAATTAACCTATACAAAGCAATAGGTATAGCCTTGCAAATTTCAGTATAACCTTTATGTGTGATTTTAACTCTATATTTATTTAATAATCCGTTTTGAGATAGTAGCAGTCCATTTTCATCTAACAAATCATTAATAAATATAATGCCTTTATTGTATCAGTCACTTTTAAACAATGATTTTCTGTTAATAATAACAGCCCTTTTATTCCAAAGAGTGGATTTATGAGGGGAAAAATATGGGTAAATATAATTTTCCAAAAAAGTAGTGCTTGCTTATGAAAATTAGACAGCGTCAAAGGAAGTTTTGAACAATCATAATCATATCTTAATACAAATTCAATGCCAACAATTTTTTAAACAAATTATTTGGGATATGATACCATATTGAATAAGGCTTAACTAAACACTCTTTCAATCATTTAACTCTAAAAGTGCCATGAAGACATTCAAAATCGATAGCTTTTAAACCTCCATATTCATACTCTTTGATCATATGATTCTTACGTAAATAATGTGATTTATTTTTCCAAATAAATTTAAATAATATTGAATTTATAGATTTAACTATTTTGGGAAGAGTATATAAAAGATAAGTTAAATATATAATTTTAGATAATCCCAGTCAAAAGAATTTTACCCTATATGGAAAGGTCTCTAGCTAGCCAATAATTTAAGGATTTTTTTCACGCCATCCATTTTAATATTAAAATTTGCACATTCTCTATTAACTGAATTTTTGGTGATGGTAACTCCCAAGTATTTAACTTCTTCTTTTACTAGAATACCCTCTAATTCTCTTAAAGTACAATTCAGAATAGTTAATATTCCACATTTTCTTAGGTTTAAGGTGAATTCAGAAGCTTTAGGAAACAGAAATTTTGACAAGAGCTAAAGGGAGCACCTCCCTTTTTTTAAGAATTAATAGTGTCATCAGCAAACTGACTTAAACTAAAAGTCCTACCAGGTATATCAATACCTAAAGTGTACTCTGAATTTTTTAAATATAATGACATAAGTTCAACAGCTATATTAAAAAGAAAAGGTGAGATGGGACATCCTTCACTCAAAAAAATGATTCTTGCCTGTAATTGAAATTAAGCAAACAATTTAAATAGAGTTTGTTTAAAAAAGTATAAAATAACTATTATTGTTTCAAATTATGCTGTCTCAACATGAATTTAATGGACTCGAAACAAACCTGCTCAAATTACATAAACTATACTTAATTGGTTGCCGTAAAGAGCGAATGCAGAGGTTGCGCATGCGCGTAATTTAAAAACACTGAAGGCGCCAGGACGGGCATGCGCATCACTTAGGAACACTGAAGGCGCCAGGACAGGCATGCGCATCGGTTAGGAACACTGAAGGCGGGCTAGCCGGTGGGCTAAGCGCGAGGAAGACAACGGTAGCAGAGAAATGACAGTGAAGATCTGATCGGGAGAGTATACAAGGTAAGATATTTTCTTCATTTGTGATTGATGTGTAAACTATTTTAAGACGTGATTCTTTTATGCGATTGATATTGATTCATCGTCACATAGCGAATTAACTGACATTGGATATTTTCGGCCGTCACTTGCATTTTTAAAATTAACCATCGTTTGAGTAAGTTATGTGTATCCTTTTTCAGTGAAGCAGATTGCTTGCATGATTTAAAAAACAAAACAGAAAAATTTTGCATCATTTCGACGTAATTCACTTTGCAAGCACGTTGACTATTTTTACAGTCTATGGTTAGAGCACGTTAAACTTTATAATTTCTAGTAAAATTATCATTTCTAGTAAAATATATTAATCTGTTATCACCTATCTGCAATTTGGGTCACTTTAAGCTATATATGGTCTACTATATTCATCTTAGGAAGACTGCACTTGTAACGTAACTTAATAATAATAGATTAACGTTAATGTTAGCAATCTCCACGTAACTTTATATTTCTCATGTTTATGCTTTAAAAATATGACGAAGCGTTGTACAAACTCGACATTATTTGAAAGTTGCATGTACAAGATTGTTGGATTATGTCATACTAAAGTCGTGTACTGGAAGTGAAAAATGTAACGTTAACGTTAGCAGCTACTTGTAAATGTTTATTTAAAACATATTGTGTATGTAAAAGTTAGTTGATAGTGCAATTTTTTTTTTTATTTAAAAAAATGTAATTTCATTACAAAACTCTAATTATATGTCATTTTTACCATTTCAGAGATCTCATCGTTGTGACATTTCACATTGTCTCCAGTTTGGGACAATCACTCAATTACAGTAAGTGTTTTTGTTTTTATATATATATATATATATATATATATATATATATATATATATATATATATATATATATATATATATCTTGTTTTATTTTGTAAAATTGTTACTTTTCTCACACTCACATGTTTTACTTTTAGATATGTGAGTCTTGAGAATGTGGCAATGTAAAGTGTGTGGCACAGAAAGTATCCAGTAGGTATGAGTTATTGAAACATTCTAAGCTCAAACATGGACATTTTGGGGCAAGGTTCAGGCATCCTTGTGTATACAATACATGTCCTTGCACATTTAAATCATGGAATAACCTTTTAAGTCATATATACCGTGCACACGTTGATCAGTCATCTTCAAAACAAAATCAGTTAGCTACATTTTCATGTCAGCTGTGTACATGCATTGAGTCAAATGAAAGAGATTACTTTAGTCATCTAAATGAACATCTGCATAAACATGAAACTGACTTGTGTATTTAAAGAGTGTACATTTAAAAGTTACATTTATAACACATTTCATACACACAAAAATAGGAAGTACAATCCACATTGTCTAACTGACTTTAAATTAACTGTTGTCACTGTAGACTGTCAAGAGTCAGCCAGTTCTCCCATTGATTTACCCACATGTTCAACAGAATCTGTGTTAGAGTCATGCAATGATGCTAATACTGATGAAGATGTTTTTAAGGGAAGTGTTCTAAATATTGCCCTTGTTTTATTAAAGTTGGAAAACATTTTGCATGTCCCAGCCACCGTAGTTGATGAATTACTTCAGGAACTACATTATTCATTAACTTCAGCATCAAATCAAGTCACTTGTAGCATAATTTCTGACATTTTTAAAAATCACAACTTAGAAATTGATGAATTTGTCATTCAAGAGCTTTCTGAAGCAGCAGGCAGGTCAAATCCCTTGGTTAAAGCCATAGAAAAAGGTGGTCCCCTTGCCACTGCTTTCAAGCGGAAGCAATTCTACAAAGAACATGTAACAGTTGTAGAGCCAATTGAGTTTATCCTTAATCAAAAAAGTCGAAAAACCTATCAGTATATACCAATTTTGCCTTCTCTTCAGCTGTTGTTTAGTTGCAGTGATATTTTACAGTGTGTTATTGGGGACCACGAGAAGCAAAAAACTGATTCAGGGGCAGACAAAGAACAGCAGTATAGGTCAATCAGAGATGGACTTTATTGCAAGGAAAACACATTTTTTTGTGGAGAGGAATTAAAAATATCACTGTCATTGTACATTGATGATTTTGAACTCTGCAACCCCTTAGGCACTTCACGTAAAAAGCATAAACTTTGTGGGGTCTACTGGATTTTGAATAATTTGCCACCTGGATGCAGCTCCACACTTTCATCTATCTATCTGGCAGTTTTATGCAAGACTGAACATGTAAAGTCATATGGATATGGTACAATTTTGGAGCCCCTTTTACAGGAATTGATTACTTTAGAGAGTCACAGTGTCTACCTTCCAGGGCTTGGACGGTTTGTGAAAGGTACAGTCCAGTCTGTCATTGCAGATAATTTAGGGGCCCACAGTTTAGCAGGCTTCATAGAAAGCTTCTCTGGTGAGTACTTTTGCAGGTTCTGCATAGGGAAGAGATTGGAGATTCAAGCTGAATCTGTTCTGACTGGCGACTTTGCCCTTAGAACAAAGGAAATTCATGATGCACATGTAGCATCTGCTAAAGAAAACTCTGTAGCATTTTGTGGAGTAAAAAGAGGTTGTGTGTTAACAGAGAATTTATCTCACTTTCATGTTACTAGAGGCTATCCACCGGATATTGCACACGACCTGTTTGAGGGTATTGTACCATTTGAACTTGCACTTTGCTTGAAAGAGTTTGTTTCCAACAAGTACCTGTCTCTTGATACTCTAAACTCATTGATTTTGAACTTCCCTTATAAGTGGGGTGATAAAACCAATAAACCACTTGTTATTCCATATACATATGCCTCCAAGAAGACAATTGGAGGTAACGCACATGAAAATTGGAATTTAATGAGATTGCTTCCATTCATCATTGGAGACTTGATACCAGAGACTGAGCCTGCTTGGATCATACTTCTTGATTTGAAAGAAATAGTTGAACTTGCTGTAGCCCCTATTCATAACGAAGAAACAGTAGTCTACTTAAACTGCAAAATTGTAGAGCACAGACACAGATTTGTTGAACTTTTTCCAGCACAACTGTTACCAAAACATCATTATGTGGAGCATTATCCACAAATGATTCAGTTTTTTGGACCTCTAGTAGGGCAGTGGACTATGAGGTTTGAGGCGAAACATAGCTTCTTTAAGAAAGTAGCTCGCCACACAAATTGTTTTAAAAACATAACGCTCACACTGGCTGCCAAACACCAGCAAATGATCGCTTATCAGATCCATTCTTGTAGCCTTAAGAAGTCCAGACTAGAAGTTACTAGTGTCTCCACACTTTCTGTGGATGTTTTAAACAAGGAAGTGGTAGAAGGCTTAAGACAGAAATATCCAGGGATTAATGAAGTTCATCTGGCAAAAAATGTGACAAACAATGGAATAAATTATAGAACTGGTATGCTGATTTCGTTTGGGTCAGCAGGTGGGCTCCCAGAGTTTGCTGAAATTCTTCAAATCTGTATTGTCAAAAGCAGACTGAATTTTGTTGTGAAGGTACTGTGTGCATGGTATCAAGAACATTTTAGAGCTTTTCAGTTAACTGTCTCTCCTGATAGAGAGGTTGCCCTGGTTGATTTAGATCAGCTAACGGATGCTTATCCACTGTATGATTATATGGTAGGAGGAAGACGAATGGTGACCCTGAAGAGGCACATCCTCATTTAAGGTAATGTATTTATCAAGTGTTTTGTGTATAATAAGTAATAAAATTGTATTACTGACTTTGTCATATTCTGCTTCATACCCTCTTATAGAAAAAAGAAAGATGTCGAGTCCAGTCAATCTAAGGATTGTTTTTGGTGGGGATGAAGATGCAAGAAAGCTTGCACTTAAGACAGGAATCCCAAAGTCTGTGGATGAACTTGTCCTTGAAATAATGACTGTTTTTGGTGTAAAGCAAAATTTCAGGCTCCAGTACAAAGATAAGGACTTTGGAAATGAATACATGAATCTCACATCAACCACTCAAATTGAAGACAGGGATACCCTGAAAGTGATTTTTCTGTCAACTGATGACTTTAACTCCTGCATGCATGAGACTGCACCTGGGGCCCGGTTTTTCAAAAGTAATCCACTAGGATTTTGGATAAGGGATTGGATCAAATCTTGAAAATAGGTTTTTCAAAAGAAAAAACGGATTACATAATCGGATTAGATCACGTAATCCAATCTTTGTTTTGATCCGGATCAAACCTTTAGTTTGGGTTTTTCGGACCTTTTTTGTAGGATCTGGATCACTTTGATCCAAAAAACATGGATTAAACTGATCCCATCAGAAGGGTGGATTTAGCGTGGATTTCATGCCTAAAATGTCAAGAAAACTTAAAAAATTTATTAAACAATACTATTTTTGGATCATGCAGTATCTCACGAGATATACTATTTATTCATAAGGTTTTAATTTTATTTGTTCATCTGTCAGGCTGTAGTGATTATTGGCTTTAACGTATTTAGCCTTTCTGTATAGGCAGTGGCGCAAAAAGGGGGTATGCAATGTATGCGGCGCATAGGGACGCCACACATGGGGGGGCGCCATTGTGCCAAAACTATTTTTGAAATTATGCTTGTTATTATACATATTAAACAAAATAAATACATATTTTTGGTTGAAAAAAAAGTTTATCCTGCATTTTATATGAATATACAATTGTATTTTATTGAATACAAAATTATACCACCCCTCCCTCTTCGTTGACCTTTTGATTGATCCGTTGCTCGGTTAAAGTCACATGTTCAAAATGGAGAGAAAAGTAAAGAGACGTGGAGCTCGAAATAGAAAACAAAAAGAGAACAAACAATGCCTTAAAATGAAAACTGCCATGACAAATTGGATAATAAGGGATTGGTAAGCTTAACCCACACTATTATTACCATACTTTTAATCAACTTCTGATGTTTTTGGGAGCGACGGGCTGCCATATAATGAATTATTCATTATCCCCACTCATTCTCTGCATGGGCTTTTACTTAACATAAATGCAATGACAATTTGTTTTGTTTATGCTAATTTAACATAATATTAGTTGTATTTAAAACAAAATCTCAAAGTATCCGCTTTCATGCATCTTCAAATCGCGTGTATAGAAGCCGTCCTTATCACTATGTAGCGCGTCCGTCACTCAGCATCGTTATACTGATTCAGAGGCTGCATAAGGGCGGCAATAGACGCATAAAGCTTTACTGGAAAAGACGTGAATGCGGCCGTTTTTACATCAATTTCATCGTGCTGTCAATCCAAATTAATGCGAAAGCTTAATTCTCTTAAACAGTTCTTGCAATTATATCACATGAGATCAACTCTGTGTAGCTGCTACTTTCACCTTTCATAGAAACATTACAAATGCGGGAGAAATACCGGAAAATACACACACAGAAGAGCAGATAGAATGGTAAAATATGGTAGAATTAATTTTGCAAAAACGAGAGGGTTTATTGGTATGAATTGCATTCGTTGGCACACACGTTTTAATTAAAATTCATTTAAAACAAAAACATGCAGTCACACATCCAAGTGTAAAGTTCATGTAAAAGTTTTATCAAAATAAACTGTCAAATCATACTTACAGTTGAGCTCAAAAGTTATAAGAGTAATAACTTAGAGTAATATAATTATAAGAGTAATAACAAAATGTGTGTTTAAAAGTACATACCTAAATATTATGGCCAGACAGAATCTGCTAAATATTTTTGCTATTTCTGCTGGGACTTTTGTAAAAAATCTGCGGAATGATTTTAGGATTATCATAACTAAAAACAGATAAAAACTATATATATATATATATATATATATATATATATATATATATATATATATATATATATATATATATATATGGAATAAAAAATTATATCTTCAATTTTATTTAATATTTACAATGCAAATCAAATTAGATCCACTTATTTGGTAAACAAAGCAAGTATCTCATATATCTATTAATGTTTCTACTGAAAGGCAGAAAATACTACTTTACCAACTGTAAATAAATCATATGAACATTTTAATATTACTATTATTATATTACAATAATATTAGTAAAATGAATTTAAAAACTGAGTAAATATAAATGTACACACATTTACACAATTAAATACAAAGACTCAATGATGGGCTAAAAATCTGTAGAAAACTGCTGATTTCTGCGCACGCAGATTCCGTGTGGGCCTACTGAATATGTTTCAGACAAAATAGAAAATCATATTTTGATTAAAAAATTCCCCTATATAAATTTTATATATTTGATTATAATGATTCTTAACCCTGGTTTAAACTGACACATGAACAAATAATCAGAATATTCACATTTTTTGGAACTGAGATGTTTTTTAATCCTACACAGCAAATTTCTGGAGTTGAAAAATTAGGAGTTAGGCAAAAACGTGTGAAAGAGTAAAATTTTTTGAGTTTATTTTTAAACTTTAACACAATTTTGTGTTATGGGATACCCTTTGCTGTGTTGTATTTTGAAGTTCATTCTCTGGTGTTCAGAAACGTGCTTTAACTCCTTACTGGAGTTAAATTTTTAGAAAGTCCGCCATTACACAACTCTGCCGAGCAGCACATGAGAACTGGAGTTATGTTCTTCGTTGTGAGGTAGGTAAAAGTGCATTGTTATACAATTCTAAAAGCTTTTTCTAAATGTTGGATGTTTTGTAGCAGAAGTGTGTTTTGCTGTAGCTGTTTCATTTTGTACTGTGAGGCTAGTGACTGCATGTGGCTAACTTAGCATAGCATGTTAGCTTTTCCAATGTGGCTGTTTTGTGCAGTATTTTTAAAAATGTTGTGGATGTGAACAAGCTAACACTAGCTAATAATCTTTTCTTCCCCTGTGTTTCTAAAAATGTGTGTTCTGCTGTCAAAAACAAGTGGTAGGCCTACTTGATCACATGGAGAAACCTGCTGTTCACATTTCAAATAGGCTAACTTACACAACAAGGTAATGTCAATATCTTTTATCCAGCAATAGAGCTTTATGTCTGTAAGATTTAATATGTGTAATATTGCTCATGAAATGTTTTGGATTGTATCATGATTTAGTCGTGACCGTGAGAGTATGCTGTTTTCAGCTATATTTACATTACATTTTCAATCACACTAACATAAGTTGTTAAATATCATTTATCTTTTTTATTTCAGGCCACGATGCTGATAAAAGTGCAATTTGGAGGCAAGAAAAAATATATTAAACTGGAAGAAGATTGTTTCTTGGATTTTTTCAGTGCGGGTGAGTTTTAGTGTAACAGAGTATTTTTAAAAAATAATAATAATAATAATAATAATAACAGTCATTTTGAATATTATTTGATAAATTATACATTGTTGTTATGTTGTAGTCCAGCACAAGTTTGTGATACCAGAGGATACAGCATCGAAAGTCACAGATGACCATGGCATAGAGGTGGATGAGGATGTATTTCAAGAACTTGCAACAACCAAAAAAACATGTCATCCACACTAATGATGGTAGGTTATTTAAGAACATTTTTATAGATTTTGAAAGTTGGTCTCATGACTCAGAGTGAAAGTGTGCATTTCAGAACCATTTGCTGAGACGTGTTGATGTTGTTGTTTTTTCATCAGATTTGACTGTCCTGCAGCAAGGGGCTGTTGAAGTGCCATCCTCCCCAAGTCTGACAGATACAATGTCTATGTCAAGCAGTTTGAGCAGCAGTGATTCTGGATCTCAAATTATTCAACCTTTAATGGGCAGTGTCCAAAAAAATGTACTTTTTTTTTAGCTTCCATATACATAGATCTTATACCGTAAACATTACAAAATAACGTTACAAAATGAATGCATTTTAAAGTAAAAAATATTATAAACACAGTTATTAGATTAAGTTTTTTTTGTTAAGAAAAATATTAATTTTGGTTATCTTTCTTAATACTTTTTTTTTCTTCGTTTCAGAAAATCAAGCAAATTCTAACTTCAAGGCCAGCAGAGTTGACAGTGATTAAGGAGTATGACAAGATATTTTTTTGCTGCTTTTGATTCCTGCGAAGTTTATTTTATATAATGTAATGTGTTGATTGTCTCATGCAATTTTACTAAGCCATTGGTTTTAGTTGGCACTAGCTGCTAACATATATTAATTGTAAATGTTTTGCTGTTAGATTTAATGCTTTGATGACAATTATTTTCAAAGTGTGTACATCGATGGAAATTCTATATCTAATGTGTGATTTGCATGAATAAAAGCAGTAAGTAAAGAGTATTGCATCAGTTCAGTCATTTTCATATATATATATATATATATATATATATATATATATATATATATATATATATATATATATATATATATATATATATTGTTTGAAGTACACTTTAACTCTAAAAAGTGTTACATTTTAACATTGGTAAGGAGTTTATATTATACCCAAATGTTAAAAGTACTCTCTGTAGGATTACAATTTTAACTCCAGAAAGTGTTATAATCTAACTAAAAAAAATGTGTTAAAATTCAACTCCAAAAGCAGAGTGATTTTAACTCTGAATGGGAGTACATTTGATGGTCACACATGTACACTCAGATTGAGTTGATTTTGACTCCCAGGGAGTTTATTCCAAAGACCAGAATTTGCTGTGTATAAAGATCAATTTTTATACCATATACATGTTTTTATAAATTTATTAAATATCATATTGATACATTAGGCATTTTGGTAACCTTTTGGATTTGTGCTCAAAACTAGTTCAATTTAGTTCCAAAAAAGTTGGCCCATAATATTTTGATAAAATAAAACATTTCAGGCAGTTTTTCTCTATTTTTTTATCTTAAACATTGTACAGTCTTTTTTATTTCACTTTGTGAAAGGTGTGATAGCAGTTTCAGTCAATTGTTCATGCGAAGACAGACCTTACACCCCTCACATATGCATGTGAGAAGTGATTACATTTTAAGTTCTTTTGCCTCCCATATCTATCATTTTGTTTTGACAAATGTACAAAAAGTACAAAAACAAGACATGTCAAGGTGCTATAATCATTTGGTGCGGAAAACGGAACTAAGAAGAAATTTGGGTTGGGATGAGATGTAATTCTTTACATTAGTGTGACTTTACATTAGTGTAATTATACTTTTACTATTTCATACAATTTCAGTTGCGTTCAGAACTTTGACATGTTGATGAAAAAAAAAATAGAGGGGGTGGGGGGTGGGGGTTAAGGGGGGCGCAAAACTTGAAATCGCATACCCCTCAGTAAATGTGCAGTTGCGCCCCTGTGTATAGGCCTCCAGCAAAGTAGAAAGAGTTTGGCCTCATAAAATAATCCCCCAAACAGCTGTCAAAACTGACCAAAAACAATACATTTTATTCCGTCACTAATTGATATATATATATATATATATGTATTCATGGAATGGAAAATATTCCATTCAATGGAAAATATTTTTCTTATTAGAATATTTATTAATGATGATAGCAATGATTACAGAATAAACAAAAATTCAAGAAATGGCAATGACTCAACAATTGCAAAAAGAGACTGAAAGGGCAGAGGCACAGCTTCACCTGGCAGAGAAACAACTGACTCTGACCAAACTGCAGCAAACCAAGGCCAGACTTGAGATCCCCCTCCTAAAGGATACGCTTCACATCAGATGAGGAAGTCTGAGATTATTGTGGAGTTTTTGACATTACGTCTTTTTTAAATTAACATCTATATTTGAAACTTATTATAAATATCCTCAATGTACAGTGTTTGTGTTGTAGGTCTCAGATAAGTGGACTGCTGAAAGAGGATGGGGTGGGCTTTTTCTTGTTTTTTTTTTTATTTATTATTATTATTAATTTAATATTTATTACATTTTCTTAGTTTTAATTAAAAAAAAAAATTATATTGACCCCACGCTGGCTATTCTACTTGTCGCTCTTTACATATCTATAGTTCTACATTGTGATGTCCTATCCTGTTTGAGCACTGGTAATCCAGATTTAGTAATCCTGAAAAGTTCCTATCCAGATCAGATTGATCCAATCCAATGTTGCTTTGAAAAACTGGCTCAAAAAGTAAGCTGGATTATGTGATCACAGATCGCAAAAACAGAATTACTAAATCTGGATCAATTTGATCCGGATTAAACCTTTTGAAAAACCGGGCCCTGATGTACCGTCCTGTTCCAGCATTCTTGTTCCTTTGCACAAGACAACCTGTAGCTCTGACTCTCCTAACACAAGACATGCTAGCCCTTGTGAATTTGACTCAGTCTCAGAAGTCTACTTGTCTGAGGACTCATTTTCCAGCAGCACCGAGATTAAGTCTCCGGAGTCAAGAACCAGTTCTTGGCCTCAGGTTTTTGTAATTCCTCGTTTTTCTTGTTCTGCTGAAATTCAGCTTCAGAGAGCTGACACAGAGTTCAACAAAAGTGAAATGCTACTTATTCCACCACCAAAATTAAGATCTGACATTCTTGAAGGCATGGCTGAGGAGATCTTTAGGTATGCTGCATACCCCACTGATAGTCAGCTTGATCAGGCAGCTGAAGCCTTGATAAATGTCCACCCTTGCTTGAGGGAAAAGGGAACTCGCACTGGTCATGAAGGATGGAAACACTATCTAAAGATAAAGATGGCTAATTTCCGCTCAAAACTCAGCAAGATTGGACACCCAGAAATCACTGTAAATTCACTTAGGAACAAGCGTGAAGGTCGGGGTAAAGCAGCATCAAACATCAAAAAGCCAAAAAAGGTTGAGGTGAATTTCCTTCCCTGCCTTCCAAGAGGAGAAACAGCTGATAGTATGGAGAAGGAAAGAATTGCTCTCTTAACTGAAGTGAAAAAAAATAATAATGAGGCAGTCATAAAAGAAAAAATGCACTTGACCTTCTCCTATAGGCGACAAGAGTTGGTTGAGGACTTGCCAATGGTTTCTGATTTACAAAGTAGATGGCCTGCCCTGTTCACAGTCAATGAAGTAAGTGTTGGTGATATTTACACAATTATTTTCTAAATTTCAATTCATTTCTCCACAATACATCTACATTTCATCATCTACCTTTGCTTTATTTCTTTCAGATAAACGCAGAATTTATGAGGATAACGACTGTGCCTCTTCTGTCAAAGTTTTTCGCGCAGCTGGACAAATACACTGCTGATCTACAGAAGGTTTTCAGCAGCAAAGGAGGTGCTTCTGGACAGAAGATATCACGCATCATGACAGTTGCAGACAAGGTGTGGTAAATTGCATTACATTAAAAGATACATTAAAACTCTGAGTACATGAGTTTCACTCTCTATGTCGCGCATTTCATATGAGTTTGCAGCAGATCTAATGCTCTGTAAACTCCTTGATGAGCATGTCAGTATGCTTTTGTGGAAACAGAGTATAAACCAAAATTCTTGAACTGAAAACCCGCCTTAAAAAATTTTAAGATGTAACATTAATTTTATTTTAAATATATTTATATAAATATGGGCCAAGTTATCAATTCACATTAATCCATTTGAAAAGTGTTTTGTCAGCAACAAATGCAAAATATTCACAAGCTGAGATCATGAGCTGAGGTTCAATGAAGCTCTCATTAATGTGATAGTTTACCCCAAAATTAAAATGACTTCATCATTTACTCTCTCATGTTTTTTTTTTTTTTTTTTTTTACTTTTAGGAGATTCTTTTAAAGAGCCCATATTATGGGTTTTTGAAAATTCCCCTCCATGTAGTGTGTAACACAGCTCTAAGTGAAGTGAAGTATCCAGCTAAGGCTTAAATCTGTAAGAATACAGTGTTTAAAACGGTTGATTCATCTATAAAAGAGTCGACTCATAGTGCTTCAAACGAGTCGCCTTGATACCGACTCATTAGGTGTTCCGCCATGACGTACGAACGAAACCAAGTTATTCACGTGCACGCGCAAACCCGGGAGATTTCAAACCTGAAGCCCCGCCCTCTGACGCAGAAACCCAGACACACACGCACACCCACACACCCACAAACACACGCACACCCACAAACACACGCACACAAACATGCCGGTCGATCGAAGTCACACTGCAGATGGACATTATATTGAGTCTCTACCCAAAGATGAAACCTCAGCATTATAACCAAGCAGTTGGAAACTTCTGGAAGCTACATGCTACAAAGAATACTTCATCTGAGTTTGTTAAAGGAAGGATCAGTAAAGAGTAACTGATGGACGTCAGGATGGGTTTCTTCCAATTCTCAAGTGTAAGTACATGCGGTTAAAGTTGTTGCCTCGTTTACTCTAGCTTGCAAATGTATTTAGTTGTGATTTGTTACTTGTAACCGCGTGTACTGTATCAGGTTAACTGGATATTTTATCTTATCGCGTGCAAAGTCACGTTAAAAACGCGACGCGTGCTGTTTGTTTATGGAGCTCCGTGCTAGAGTTCTGCTCCCGCGATTTATTCGGAAATTTATTCCCGCGCCGCAGAAATCTGGCGCGGGGACAGCCGCGGGAATAAATTTCCGAATAAATCGCGGGAGCGGTCGGTAACGGGTTTAATTTGGGACGGGAGCGGGCTGTCTAGCAATATCACAGATATTGCTATGCGAATTAGAAAGAGAGAGTCTGCGTGGTGCTTGTGTGCGTGTTAGTGCGCACGCGCGCGTATGAGAGAGAGAGAGAGAGAGAGCGAACGAACGAACGAACGAACGAACGAACGAGCTTTGTGCTGTGTGTGTGTGTTTAAACAGACAGCTTGGCTGTCTGGACTGTATACTGGGTGATTTTTGGGTGATTTTTGTTTGTGTTCTCCGCTCCGGGCCGGGGACCGGGTGCGGCGGGCAGAAAACGGAGCGGGTTTTCAGGCTAAAACCTGGCGGGTGCGGGCGGAAGCGGGAGCGTTGTCATCCGGAGGTGTGTGTGTGTTTTTGTGTGTGTGTGTGTGGTATGGCGAGTACACGACTGTCTCCTTCGTTCGGTTATCCGTGGCACTATCCACTCGCCATAGTGTGGCAGCTAAAATCCACGTTTAAATTGCTGATTAGCTATTGGCCATTTCCCTCTCTGACTGAAGGCAGTCGACCAATCGCGACAGACTGTCATCGGTCCAATCAGCGCAGATTAGCTCCGCGCTAAGGAGGGGTTTGGGAACAAATGAATCACTGGACGATTCATACAGGAGTCGCTGGGATAATTAGCTAAAAATAAATGCAGATTATAAGACCATGAAAGTGTTTTTTGACCTTGCATGCATATTAGACTGTTGTTGGAGACCCTTACAACCAGGATATGACCCTATTTCATGTATAATATGGGCTCTTTAAACACAAAAGAAGATATTTTGAAGAATGCTGGTTATTGGTACACATTGACTTCCATAGTTGGGAGAAAAAAAACATGTTAATCGTTGCCACCAACCAGCATTCTTCTAAATATTTTTTTTAGAATAGAAGAAAGAAACTCAAATAGGTGTGTAACAAGAAAAGGGTTTGCTTTAAGGCTTGTCCCAACCTACTGGAAGTTTTACTTCATATTTAACATTTAACAGTAATCACTATAGTTACTATATTAGTCAATGTTACCAATAATAATAAATAACAATCTCAAATGAATACAAAATTAATGTTATTTTAACAATTATTGCACAACACAAAAATGCAGCAGATTAATATCAGTCAATTTAATGTTTTATTTTCTATTTATAGTATAGTTCTATTTTTGACCAGGTTCCAGTGTCACACATTTCTTCCACCCCATACAGACAAATAAAACAGTTTTTGTAAATCACTTTCTTTAAAACACAAAACTGCAGATTCCTACACTTTGTCAACATTGCAACATATAAAACACTCAAAAATGTATAATTGCCACAAAAAATTTACATTACAAACAGAAACAAAACTTGTTCAGAAACTTCATCTATGTGCTGGATATATTTCCAGGTCTGGGGTGTTGTTTCCTCATCAGGAATGCATCACTGGTCTTGTGATCTTACCTCCATGTTGGTTTTATATTTTAATATTGTATAATTTTGTCTAATTTTCAGTGTGGTGACATACACATCAAGCGAGATTGTGTCATACAGAGTCTGTGTGTGTACTTCAATGAGGACATGACAACAGTTGTCAAAGAATTCGAGGTTTGTATACATATGTCTAAAGAACCTAACATACATTGACAGTCTAGATGTTGCCAGTATTTAACTGAAATTTAAAAGTATTAATGTTTTATTTATTTATTGTTATTAAATTATTTAATATGTATTTACTTGTTTATTTTAGGATAGCAACCCTAAAGAAGCAGAAGCAAGAATTTCTGAGACCACTCTGGGGCTTTTTGTGATTCGCAAGGAAGGTGCTGGTGCTGAGGAGGAGCCAAGTGATGTTGGAGTTGTGATAGAGGGTGTAACGCTGCTAGAGAACCTAAAGAGTATTTCCTTTGGATTAGTAATTCTCTTTGGACTGATCTACGCTCTCAATTTAAGCTATCCTCAAGGTCTCAAGTTCACATTTGAATTCTTTCAGAAGGTACTGATGAACTTAGATGGCAGCAAGCTGTCCCCAAAGGTACAAGCACTTAAAATTAAAATGTTTCAGTGAATAGGACATTCACTGTTTGCCTACATGCCTTCAACTGGAACAACATTGAAAACCTTTAGACAAGAATGCCCTAAAAGATATATTTCTACTGACTGATGACACTAACTCCAGTATGCCATGGACTGCACTTTCTTTTTTCTTTTTTTTTAATCTCTGAAACTTTTAAAACAGGATATGTTACCCATTTAACTTTTGCGTCCAGGAAGCCAATGGATTACTTCTTTTCCAGATGTATTAAGACTGTCTTGGTTACATCTCCATCCTCAGAATAGTAGTTTTTCATGTTTTTATGTTCTTCTGAAATGCTGGTTTAGAGGACTAAAATAGTTCAACAAAAGTGGAATGCTACTTATTAAACCACTTTAAGGTTTTAAAGGGACAGTTCACGTAAAAAATGAAAATATACTCACTATTTACACTCCCTCAATTGGTTCCAAACCTTTATGAATTTCTTTCTTCTATTGAACACAAAATATATTTTGACATTAACTTCAATTGTAGGAAAAACAAATACTGTGAAAGTCAAGGTTTCCAGCTTTCTTCAAAATATATAATTTTGTGTGCAACAGAAGAAAAAAAAACAATAAAAGTTTGAAACAAGCGAAAGGTGAGTAAATGCTCATTTTCAGGTGAACTTTTCCTTTAAAGCCACGACTGAGGAGTTCTTTGGGAATTCAGCATTCCCATCTGCTGTGAGTAGGACTTGTTTTGCTGTTCTAAATGCTGAAAATTGTAAACCTGTTATATGTATTAAAAAGTGATGCAAACTTTAGATATGTAAAGTAAAATGATTGCTTTTTCTTATTTATTTTATTTCATTGCATTTTGTGTTTAGGTGTTATTTCATTATTGTATTGTCATTTTATTGTTAAGGGTCATTGTTAATTGTTTTAACAAACATTTAGAAAAAGAAGGGATCATTTACTTTTGTGTTATAGATCAGGAGAGAACATTGTTTACCATACTATGAGGTAACATGACAATGTAACTTTGAAAATGTGAAATTAATGTTTGATGTTGAATTATGTTTCCTTGTTGATGCCTGTTACTTGTAGGCACACAAAACTAAAAAGTCACAACCAGAAAGCTATTGCAGTTATTTGTTAAGCACTGCATTACAGTATGTTTTTGTCAGATTGGATTTTATTGGACAATAAATGTTAAAAAATGTAATCTGTGTTGAGAATTTATTTAATATACCTAAGAACATAAAAGGTGATTATATAAAACAAATAATAATAATGTATTCGAAATAAGTAAAGTCTATGTATTATACAAGAATAAAACCTATTTCAGCAGTTATCATAACATTTATTTAATTCATTCATGTTAACTGAACATAAATGGGTTAGGCTTAAACTAATGTTAACTTTTACGTTGGATTTATGTGATTAAATTGGATGGAAAATTGACATCCAATTGAATTACATAAAGTTTAACTTTTGGGGTTAAATATTTTTTTGAGTGTATCCCACTTCTCTGAATTAATACCTGATATTGTCAGAATCAATCATTCAATTTAACGTTATATTTGCTGTAGTCTACGGAGGAAGGTTTTGGCCGCACCAGACGGTGATGGAAGTGCAGAGGATGGATTGGATGACAGCCGAGTAGAACTGTACGAGCAGCTCCTGTGGCAGGTTAAACTTCTTCAGCTGACGAAGGAAGTACAGTCTCTGCTGGGCTTTCTTTACGATAGGGTCGATCTGAATGTCCCACTGCAGATCCTGAGACATGGTGATGATACTAGAATGTGATGATGAACATGGAAATGTCTGAATCTCTGTCAAATATTGAATCAACTGTAGAGAATTAAATCCAGCAGCTCAATGAATAAAGGAGAAATGAAGTGTGGCGTTTGTTTCTGATCTTCTTCTTCTTCATGATTTGACTTGAACTGAACAATAAAAACACATTTATTCCAGTGTTTATTGATCTGTTCATGTTAGTTGATGACAGTAAAGTTGTTCTCTGTTAGTTCTTGTTGACTCTCAGTGCATTAACTGATGTTCACAAGCACAACTGTGGATTAATAATGCTTAATAAAGCAAAGAACTCAAGCTCAGTAATGTCTGTGTCCAGTAATAAGCCTGTAACTCTTGACTATATGAGGAGTTTTCTGTGTTGGATTGACTGAAGTAGGAAAACACACAGTTTAGCTTAAGCTTTTCTGCTGCGCTCAGAGAAATAAAGGCTTCTGCTCCATCAAGACCAACACAGAGACACTGAGGAGGAGCTTCTGAACACAGACCAGACGCTCTCTCAATCACAACACACAAACACACACACACACACACACACACATTCAGCACGTCTGTGGACACATCTGCACATTCAGCCACAGTTACACAATCCACACACACACATCTCTGTGTGTATTTTAGTTCAGTTTAGTTATGGTGTCACTGTACATGGAGTCAGTCTACAGCTAAAGTTCTCTACAGTTGTATAGCCGCGGGGTTTAATGTGTTTATTTTATTCTCTACAGATATATTTCCTATGACTAAAGTTTGGCTAAATTTTATGTCTTATTTCATTCAGTCATTTATTTCTCATCTATAATCTTGTTGTCTTTAAGGTCTGGTCGTATAAGCATTTCACTGGATATTGTCGTGTGTATGAGTTTGTATTTGATGAAGAAAACTGAATTTTAATGTAAAGTCAAATGAGATATTGAATAAAACAACATTTCAGCTGAAGTTAAAGTCTTATTTTCTCTTGATTTTTCATCTTTAATAACACTTGATGTGATTCTCCCTTGTATATTCACTGGGCTCAGCTAATTTTGTGTCTAACAGTAATATTCTGTGCTAGTTTCAGCATCCTGATCATCTTGAGCTGCTTGTTTTATCAGTTCCAGTACTGACTGATCTGATGTAGGTTTTATTGTAAAGTGTCCTATAGAATATATGAACTAACACAGAGATCTGTAAGTGCTGTGCTCATATGTAGACCCATAATGTTATTTATATTCTTATTTTATAGCTCCAATACTCATTTGTTTTCTTTAAACTTTCTAGAAATCTTGACACTCGAGCTCAGAGAATCTGCACAGATATCTTCAGCTCCACTGGTTTGTTGTCTAGATGACACGCCCACAGTCAGGTGAATCTCATGAATATTCATGTCAGTGGAGCCAGTATTATTTCAGCATATACCTGTAGATCACACAGGTGTGTTTTAGTGAAGTGAAAGAGTTCAGATTGTGTTCCTGCTGCACAAGAGCGTCTGTACTTCTGCATGTGAGTTTAACACTTCTACATTTGACTGATTTGTGGAGAGGATGAAGGGTTTATATGTGTATAAGCGTGATTTATAGCACTGTCTGCTCCTGAAGCTCAAAGCCTCAAACCAAACACGGTCAAAACACGGTCATTTCAACAATGTAATGGGTTATTTTTTTATCTCTTGAAATTGTTTGTGCTCTTCTATATCAGGTTGATTCGATAATTTCACATCATTCAGCACAAAATAAACTTTAAACAGTCAGCAAATCGAAAGTGAAAGCAGAGCTTCCGTAAACAGGCAGAATGCGGATGTATTTCACCAGCGGCGGGTAAGACAGACGCTCCTGGCGGGAAACCCTTTTCAAATTGTAGCTTTCTTAAAAGCAGGGTTTGACAATAAAGATAGCCCAGTATGCATATGTGATCTTAGAATCGAGAAGCAGCAGCAGGACTGATAAAAACAACTGTCTTCACGCGAGCAAAAGAAAGATCACTCGCGCGCACAGGTCACGTGATGCGAGCGTCTGTTTACAAAGCGTGCGCGCTCCCGTTTTCTTCCGCGAAGCAACCGTGCCTGGAAACTCACCTGGTGCGATCTGCTCTCTTTAAACTCGACTGGACAAAAGGTGATGCTTGTGAATCTGCAAACCTGCTGCTTTCAAGAGCTCCAGATTTAAAATAAATGTATTTTTATAAGCAGCAGTGGCGCCGGTTACTGCTTTCTCTTTTCTTTCCCCATTCTTTAAACAGATTATTAACAGGGTCTAATGTTAACGTGATCCTATTATCACACGGTATGCTTTTCATTAGCTTTCTTTTGCTTATTGTTATGTTTGTTAATATGGTTTAATTGTGTGTGTGTGTATATATATATATATATATATATATATATATATATATATATATATATATATATATATATATATATATATATATATATATATAATAAGATTGCTTTAATAGGAGATTAACTCCCTGTTTGATTAACATGGTGATCTGGGAGCTTTAGCCAGGACAATTAATGAAAAGTTTTGTTAAATAAAAAGAGCATGTATACAGCTATATTTAGCTTGTTTTGACACATTTTTTAAAATTTGTGGCAAAGAAATAATTATTTATTTTTGTTGTGGTCAGAGATACATTTGGTAAATGCTTAAATTTGAGCCCTGAAAAGTCACGTATAATAAAAACTAATTGCAGTGCTACACACTAGTAAACAGGGCCGCAGTGGGACTCCTTTACAGCCCTGGAGTTTCAAGCCTTAGACCGGCCCAGCTCAGTTCACGACTGACTATATTAAAATCAGGTCAATTCCAATTCAGTTTCTAATGACACGATCACGTCTTTTTGAAGGACACAGCTGCTTTTAAGATTAAAGGGGAGCTGAATCTCCAACACTATCTTTACAACAGCACAACGTCCTTTCCTGCAATATCTGAATATATATTCTGTGCTAAATTCTTTATAGATATCCAGCTCTTATACCGGTGGTCACACAAAAAATAAAATATGTACACCTATATAAGTAACCCAAACAGTATTACATGTCTTAGCAATAAAAATGAAAATAAATGACTCAGGTGAGGTTTGAACTCCGGTCAGCGGCGTCATAATGAAATGTGCTGACCTCTAGACCACAATGGCTTAAGCATTTACTCTCCTTTTTAGATTTCTGATCAAGGTATGTCAGATTTATTTCAGTTTTTCTCCTTTGGTTTGGCTCATTTCCTGAAACAGGAATGACATTCTCAAAATAACACAGACAAATCTCCAAACCACTTGGCAATTGTTCACAACAGATCTGAATTTCTCATTCATTTCATCAAATCGCAAATGTCTAAGTACATCTTTGCACATGATTAAGTTCAGGTAGCCGACAGTTTCCAAGTGAAGAGATCTAGTTGATCTAAACTGATTGGTAATTCTCAGTCTAATGGTTTTTCTCTCCAAAACTTGTCAGCGTCATTTCATTGTATAAGTCATCACATGCACAATAGTCTGTTCAATTGTCCAAATCAGTCAAGACCATAACAGCATGAACACCATACAGTAGGTGAATGCTCGGAGCATTTGATGACAGTTTATTACAGCTCTCTACTCTTTTTGCTCTGATATATGGAAGATGCTTTGTGTGTGCTTGATCATTACAATAATAAAGGAGTGACCGTTTCCCTGGCAGTATGAGTGCAATGTGTGACGTCAAACCTTGGAGGCTACTCGTACCCTAAAATCCTATTTCTGTT